TCCAATTCATGTTTTACTTTAGCGACGGACTGCAGTCCGCATAAAGTGCTGCTCCAGAGCTTCCAGCAGAATGTGCCCTCTTGTGTTGGTACATCTGTTTCTCCACTCCACTGCCTAAGCATTGACGTCTGCTCGGATGACTTCCGGTCATCGTTCGATCAGCTTTTCGGTAAGTCCAACCAGCGTCTCGTGGAACTGCTCCATCGTCCATCGGGTGCGTAGCAACTGCATATGAATATTCCGTTAATTTTGGTGATCACGAAACCTTCTTCTTGAATGCGGTATCTGGCCATAACTTGTATTGCAGCCATCCCAGCTCTATCCGCCACCTAGTTACCTCGATACAGCTATGTAGTGTCGCAATAATTGAGGTTTATTTAAGTTAGTTCTGTTATTGTTGCGACAAAACAATTAAGTGTCATTTGGAGCGAAATGCTTGAGAATTTATGCCTAAAAACCAAAAAGTTCAGCAAAATCTTCAGGCTGATAAAATCGGGACAAAAAGCTGACAAAATCGGGAAAGCACTGTAGTACATTTGAATTTGAGCTAATTTGACCGTAAATTTCGTAGTTGCTACTCCGTGATCGACAAGATCCAGCAAAATTGCACATAAATCCAAAATAATGGGGTTTGGAATGACCCAAGCAACACAAAAAACATCGTAATGTTTTTATTTATTTATTTACGTTACCCATACATCCCTCAAATGGTACAAGAAATACATCTCAATAATGGAACTCAACTGTTTCAATATACTGCTGACTTCTCAAATCATGCATGAAATTGGAGGAGCAAACATGTTACACTCAAATTGGTATGAACCCAAGTAACCAAAAGTTCCGCAATCAACGATTAAAATCACTTCCAAGTTCCTTAAAGTTCAAATAAAGTTCCGACCGAACCTTCAAGTTCCATAAAGTTCAAATAAAGTTCCGACAGAACTTTCAAGTTCCATAAAGTTCGAATAAAGTCCCGACAGAACTTTCAAGTTCCATGAAATTCAAATAAAGTTCCGACAGAACTTTCAAGCTACACAAGTCTTTATTAGTAACAAAATTTAATGTACGTAAAAATCAAATGATCAGTGGCCCGAATAAATCATAATTCTTATATTTATGCAGTGCATCAACATTCTATCAAAGAAAAAAGAATAATTTCCTGGATTCGAACCCGTGTATTCGACATGTGATCTACGAACGCTAACCACTGCGCCACAAGTGTGTTGGAATACCATGCGGGCAAACACCAATTTAAAATTCATCAAGGTGTTGTGTTTTGTATTCCTGTCACGCAGCTGGCATTGAAAACTCCAACAGTAGGCGGGACAACAGTTCACTTTAATATATCTCAGATGACGTAGCGGTTCGTGCTGGGGCTCTCACGCAGAAGGACTGGGTTTAATTCTTCAAATAGCTCCAATTCTACTACTAATGCTGATAAATCAATACACATTAATACCTGTCTTTAGAAACAACTTTCATAAAAGTGCGAACTAAATATATAATTGGTGTAGAGGACAAAAACCTTTTTTAATTTATTTTCTAAAAGTTTCGTTCAAGTTCCGCCAGAAGCTGCTTAGAATGCTCTTCAATTATGATACCGGAACTTTCAAGTTCTTATAACGGCTGCTTAGAATTCTATAGACCACCTTCAACCAAGCTGCTTAAGCCATAAATAGCCTTTTATCAGAACTTTTGGTTACTTGGGAAGTTATATGCTACGTGATATTGTATGAAACACTTGAGCAACAAATCTAGCTTGCGTTGATGAACCTATTTGCAATCTTGTTCCAATTAAGCGTGATGAATCTATAAATTTTCAAACTTCGATTAGCAACCAATTGGATCAAGTTGTTACTGTAAAGTTTTGTTACAACCATCTAGAATCTACCAAATAGGGGGAAAGGAGGTAATGTCGGCGTAAGTGTCCCTAATTTGGGCCCATACATAAATTCAGCAATCAACTAAATTTTCAATAGCAACTAAAAATATCCATTAGTAACATCCCAATAACGCGTGAATCTAGATAAAATTGAAAAAATAGCAGACTTTTAACGATGGGCCCAAATTAGGGACATGTAGGCCGACATTACCTACATTTCCCCTACGTCATGTAATTGTGATGTTGTAAAACACTTTTGGACTACATTGGAAAAAGTGGAGAAATCATAATGCATGTGCTAAATGAAACTAACAAATAACCATGGTGAGGAAGACTATGACGAGGACGATAGGATTACGGACGGCGGAGGACGATGGTGACTAACGACGATGCGAACTTTGACAAAAACGATCGCCGCAGAAGCAAAGTCGAAATTTATTTGAGCCCCAATAATCAAGAATCTTTTCAATCTGGGTCTGAGTGACACAGTTTCACCAGCTCCAGTTTCTATGCTCCGTTGGGCATTCCGAAGAGATCCCCGATTGCAGCTATAAGATTTGCCCCAACGGAAATGCGGCAGGTCCCCCGCTAGCAACATCCTAACCAGCGGACAAGTTGAACGCCGGCAGAGGTGATGTTACAGCGACTCCGACAATTCTTCCGCCAACAGCGGCTGGCGTGACCATAGTCAGTTGAGAGGGTTTTCCAAAGGGCCAAAAAAAAAAACGATGAGAATCTTGAGACGACGTTGGATCGATTGTTGCTGGAGCTGTTGTCAATTTTGATGCCGATTTCGTGCTGATACCAGAACTATTGGTTCCTAATGTCGAAACGATGCCGCTATAACTCGATGCCGCATTACTACTGACAAGTGACGTTTAAAGCACGCACAGACTCAACTAATCCTATGATTGTTCAAACTACAACTTATTGAAAAATACACACATCATTCAAAATGGCCAAAATTTTGTAAACATGTGAATTATGTGCATAACACACAATTATGCAAAGTTTCTAGCAAATCGGAGAAGGTCGAGTTTTTCCGAATCGGCATTTGGCGTGGAACTGCTCTCCGGCAGTAATTGCTGAACGTTTCAGACAAGTTCATTGCGATGATTTTTTTCAGTGTCAAAAATCGTATAAATCTCGATCAAATCGACAGTGAGCATTCATAAGGGCGAATACGCGATGATCGATTCTCTTCATCGATTTTCTCTTTGCATTGCTACAACTAGGCGAAACAATTTTCTAGAATTTGTTCAATGCAGAGTAGTAACAGGTTGTATTGGCTATCAAAAGCAACAGCAAATGCATCGAGAAACGTTAAATCTAGCGAGTTATTAACAAAAGAGAAAATCGACGAAGAGAATCGATCATCGCGTATAGGCCCTTATGCATGCTCACTGTCGAAATGTTAATGCTTTTGTCAACAATGACTTCAAATGGGATTTTTTTCGAAATTGATAGCTCGCCTAAGCAAACTAATACCACCATCATTGTAGAGAATCCAGTGGCGTTGCGTAACCTCACTTTTTACCTGTTCAACGACTTTGAAAACGTTATTTAGGGTCATGCTTGCATTCAGATCAGTTTCAAAAGGCACAGGGTCTTCTAGTTTCACTGATTTTATCCACTGGAAGTCATTTTTTTAAATTTATTTAAGTTGTTAAATAGGTAGATTGAGGTTATGGTGACGCCACTAAGAGAATCATTTCACCTTTTTGATGGTGGAGTTAGTTTGCAGTTAGGATAAATTGACAAGTTCAAGAGCACTTGCGTCGACTTGAATATGTGCTCTAGAAATCCACTTTTGAAATGTCATGTTTAATTCAATTTTCAACACTACCAACCACCATACAGAACAACATTCCGAAATTCGGAAGCCATAAAAAAAATCTACTGCCCAAACGAGCACGAGCAGCCAGCCATGGCCAGCACAACCAGGTGCGAATGTCACGTGTCTCATTAATCCGCTCTTTCGATACCTACTAAAGTACTAAAACGCAATTAGAGACACCTTTCTCTTCGCTTTAAGCGTCGTAATTTATTGGTTTCGCTTCGCATAATACAAACCCATTCATACGTTACCCGCCGGGTCAACATAGAAATGCGACTTCAGTACATCATAACAGCAATAACAATAACAGCAACAACACAAAACGTAAACAAAGAACACCCATGATTATAAGTCACACACAGCAACCACAGAACGGAAAAAATGTCTCAGTCGAAAAACAAAAACAGATTAATCCTCCTATAGCTTATATGTGCCTTTTATACTGTATATGGGATGACCAATGTTCACTATTTTGATTATGGAGTAAGTTTTTGAAAAGGGCTTAATGGGGCCAATACGCACCGTAATGTGGTTGTGCAATTGCTGTTGTGCAACCAAATTGCAGTGTGTATTGGCCCCATTATCCAAAACGGTCAAACGGCCCTTTTCGAATGACATTTCAAGAACAACATGTGATAAGGGCATACAAGATTTTTGTAAACAAACCTTCTTATGCCCTCTTCTCGCCACCCATATGTCATCAACGCAAACCATCAACATCACCGGTAAGGGGAAGTTTTCTCCTTCCCGATGATGTTGTTAGTTTGCGTGGGTGACATATTGGTGGCGAGAAAAGGGCATAAGAAGGTTTGTTTACAAAAAGCTTGTATGCCCTTTTCACATGTGGCTCTTGATTTTTTTCTCAGAATTAATTGAGCTGAATTCTGATTCTGTGATATTAAAGCCTTCCGATATATCTACGCGGAAGGCAAAAATAAGGAAACCTGGGACCCCTTTTTGTACAAGCTTATTTACTTCCATAAATCAATGGGACGCGCGTGTGTGTAGTTTGTCGAAGCAAACAACTTCACACACAAACGGAAAAAAATAATAAGAAGACCCCCTCTGAATGGAACCAACCAGGTGTGAGACGTTTTTTCGTCTGCAGTGGGCTTCGCCCGGTGTGAAACTGTTTGCATAAAATCTGCGTTCATGAAAAATGGCTCATCCCCGAATGGACGAACGGCAGGGAAGTAGGATTTATGAATCGTATCATCGGGAAATGGGTGCAAATGGAAAGGAGCCGGTTTTTGCATGTATTTTTTTTTGCTGTATCCATACCTTGACTAGGAACGAGTTCATCCATTTCGTGAACGTTTTCTTCTGGATGTGCAACCGTTCCTCCTGCAGGGTCTTGATGCGCTCGTTCTCGAACTTGAAGATGCCCTCGCGTTGCGTCATGTTGGAGCGTAGCTGTACCTGGGTCGCGTAACCTCCAGGCTCATACTGTGAACCTGCTGGGGGAGAAAAGAGAAAGAGGAAAAATCGAGGGTTAGATAACTTTCGATTGGAAAAAAAAAAAATCTGACGTAGAGGGGAATTATCAAACAGTTGATCTGACTTGAAGGTATATAAAAAAAGAGGCAAATTTAATATTTTATAAAATATTTGGATGGATTTTAATAAAGGTATAATTTGATGCTCTCAAGGACTTCTCGGTCTGTCCAGACGTAAATCGTCCAAAGAAAATCTAACTTTTCGGTCTTAACAATTCGCTATGATTAGTTGTATTTGGATTGTTATATGTATTATTTAACTCGATTCTAATTTGCCGACTTGCTGGAATTTTTAGATGTTTGGTTTCTATCGTTTTGGAAGTTTGAAAAGCGAAAGTAAAAACACAGTTCTGTGGATAGAGGGTGTGCTCGTCCCCCTCGCAGCACAAGCTTTCTGCACTTTTCTTTAGTTTGAACGTGCATACACACACAGATTTATGTGTTTACTACACTGTGATTGGTGCCATTCTCCATCCCTGAAAAGTCATCGAATTGTTGACTTTCGGATAAGCTTTTCATTACAAAGTGAGTTCGAGTAAAACGGGGTGAAGTTGATCACTACACCGTTCAATTTTCGTTTCTCAACCATTCTTCTTCATGAACTTGATATAAGACAACTTGTTTAGTATCTCATTAAAAAGCACTTTTGAAACGTTTCCCCTCACAAGCGATGCTTTCTACCATTCATGTACAATCGTCATACAATGTTCAATTTGGTGGAAGTGATAAAATATGCAACTTTTAACTGTTTCAAAACATCTTATCAGAATGAGGCATTCTGGTGCTGTGTTCGGTTTAATTACTTATTCTACTTGATTTTTGGAATATGAAATTAGATGCTGTTAAAATAAAAGAATTCATGTCATAAAAATGATGTTATGTGAAAAACTGAAGTTAATTGCCTACATTTAGGCGAACAAGCAGTTTTCTCGTAAACCATCCCAGAATTGATAATTTGCATTTTTAATCTAATTTTAATTCTAAAAACTACAACGGACAGCCCTATGGGGTTGTACGCTATGGTGACGTAGGACTACGTAGTCTTAAATAATAAATATTATTTGTTAGCTGTAGCAGGAGCTTGTGTTTTGTGTAGGAGTAGGAATTTGAGCGGGGTTCTCTCTGTTTATACTCTTCAGTATGACGCGCTTGACATAGATGACCCATAGTGACTCACGAAGAGCTACTGATTCCGATCAATAGCGGTGTGGCTTCTCCCTCCTTCTATGGATGCTCATGTTGGGTTTGGTGCAGCTCACTGCTTGTAGGGAGCCTATCGTTGTGTACTGGAGAACATCACCACTCACCACGCGGTGATTGAATAAACACCGTTTGGTGAGACCGGATGGAATTCAACTTTGAAATCTGTGTTAGGGAAATCGCTTTTCGCAGGCAAACGGTGATAATTTTAACTATCATAGCAACAGTTGCACATTCGTGAAATTTTCAATAGTGACATTTTGAAAACTGATGAAATCCTAAATTTAACAAATGCGTAGAAATATTTCTGATCCAATGGTGATAAAATTATTGAAATTGGTCCAGGGGCAGCTGAGTTATTAACGTTCAAAATCTTTCATAATTTTGTTACATGTTCCATTTTTGGGAAATCACAGACGTACTCCTACGTCAAAAATAAACTAAAATCTAAATATCAAAATAGATTGGAATCTTCCAACGTCAATTACACATTTCAGCACTGCTCGTCGTGCACAGCTTCGGAATGTTTGATGTACTCTAAAACAACATAAGCAAGTGGATACAAATCTCTGCAGTCGGGACAACCATTACCCCTTCCAGTTTCACTCGGTTCGGCTTATCTACGAGGACAAATCTGAAATTATCTCGCAGCAGATGAATCGTAAAATGTAAGAAAAACATTTGCTCAACTTGTTTCTCCGGCCACGGGTACGTGATGAGCTTTTTCAGCATCATTTGGGATTTGTCCCCAAAAACGTCCCAAATTCTATTTGACTTTGCAAAAATGGCATCACTAACGGCGAAGACGAAGCGCGCACTGGCTTGGTAAATAAAGCCGCTTTTTAGTCGTTGCTGCACTACGCTGTTGACTTCAATGGCCAAACTTACCTGCTCAAATTCAGCCGCGCAGCGAGGGACTAATAAAATGATAATATTTATTAAACGTGGTCGCGTACGTACACACACTCACACACTTTTTGCTGTGCCGGAATGCTTCTTGTCATATTTGCACAATGACGACCGAGCAGGCGATCCGTTATCTGGTTAGTACATACGGTACGCGACTTGTGCTGGATTAAAATCTACTTCCAAGAGCCGCACGGGTGTTCGGTAGGGTAGCAAACAGCGAAAGTATGGCGTCATTGGTTTCAATTAACAGTCACCAAGGGAAGATATTTTCCAAGACAGCTGAAGTACGTAGCTCAATTGTAAAGCTTCAGCTTCAGAGGTCGATGCAGTACGTCACAACATTGGTGAATTGTTTAGCAGAAATAGAAAATATCAGTTCCAGTTTGCCAAAGACTCACACCTAGGGCCCTCCCTTAGCTCAGCCGGTAAAGGCGCAGCTACAAAGCAATACCATGCTGGAGGTGGCTGGGTTCGAATCCCGGTCCGGTCTAGGAATTTTTTGTGGTGGAAAATTTCTCGACCTCCCTGGGCATAAAGTATGATTGTACTTGCCTCACAATTATACTAATGCAAAAATGGTACAGGTATCGAAAGTTCTCAATTAATAACTGGGGAAGTACACCTACAATACAAAGTTGAGAGCACACAATAAGCTAATATGCAATAAGTAATAAACATGAAATGAGACGAAGAAGAAGAACAACAAGAAAGATTCACACATTGCTCAAAAACTCCCCTCTAGTTGGGAGTGTTGGACAAATAGAACTGCGAATAATTTATTCAAATCTAATCGTATGTTGTGAAGATCAGTCCTTTAAAAAGGATAACTTTTGAGGACATAACGCGTCCTCCACAAGTTTAAGACAAAGGATGTACTAAGGTCTACAACAGGTACAGCAAAACATCACTTAGAAGCACTTATTCGCACTATCTATTCAGGGATAGAAGGAAATGCTATGCCATGCTGAACAACTTTTTTGAAAGCCCCAAAATGATTACACTACTTTGGACAACGGTATTAACCATTCAATAGCATAGACCTTTTCATGGTCAGTGCGTTTATGCAAGTGATCTACACACGTAAATACTTGGTTTGTAAATACAATGAGATAACATGCCTCCCATGCCAAACGAGAAATTCCTTAGAAGTATGTTATGTTATCTCATTAGGATGGGAGCAGAGGAAAGGAAGAACTGAAACTTCGTTAACAAAATGCTTTCATTCAATTCTAGTCGCAAGTGTTTGATGGAATGCTTCGAAGGTCCTAAACTGTGCTAGGAAAATATTAAAAGATCAAATCTCACCAATGAGTCAACAAAAGTCAACAAGCAAATAACAGCGGATGATATTACAAGCTGTGAAGCGCTAACAAAACTCACCAGCTACAATTCTCACCAAACTGTGGTGAGTTTGAGCTTCAAGATTTTTGCTGAACACCCGAACACGATTCGAAACGTCCATCGGTGCAAGACAGCAGTAACTTCGTGGCTGCCTTCTTTGAAGAGCTAAGAGAGATAGCTAACTTTGCTTTCTCTTTCTAAGAATCATTTTTGGGTTGAGTGAATAGTCTCGCAATATCAACAGAGCTTTTAAAATCAATATCATGCATGATATTTTATTCCACTATAACGCGTAATATCAGTGTTCACTCGGCTGTCGACAAAAGCAGGCCACTCTCGATGTGTGCTACGCGATCGTCTGTTTTCTCGGCAGCAACCATTGTGTGGTCCTCCTCATTGTTCTTCATCAGCAGTTCTTTCGGTCTATGCGTCCTCGACTTTGCAAAGCAACCGTTTCGTGATGAGTGTGTGAGTGCTGACTACGTTTTGCGTCCATTGCTGCAATGGACGCGCTCTGACCCTCGTTGGCGTACAACAATTTACCATACAATGAAACTACTAGAAGCGGCTCCAGTTCTGATCGAGGAGGCTTTTTGGATAGCGGAAGATAAAGTGTTTATTGTGTTGTACCTTTTGACTATAGTTTTAAGATGTATTGTATAGTGACCAAAAATCCTCGGCTCTGTAAAGTAAATTCGTTTGAGCCTTATCAAATAAATTAATAAACAAAACAAAAATCACGCGTAATATTTGGAGCCCTTGAGAGCGAAAAATCAAATCATTTGAGTGAGGATCATGCCATCACTGATTAATGTACTTGTCCAGAGCTCAAGGGTTTCAATCTATGCAACTGATCTTAGAGCTCCACGGTTTGTCTCGAAAACACTTGGAACTGTCATATATAAATTAATTAGGGGTCATGACATAAACATGTACCTAGAAGGCCATGGGACCGTCCTCCGAAAGATCTGCAACATCCTTAAAAATGGTCAATCCATGAAACTGATCCTAGAACTCCGCAGTTTTTTCGAAAGCATTAGGAACTGTGATATAAGAAAAAAAAAATGGGGAACCATGGACCTATATGGCCATAAGACCGTCCTCAGGAACACCCGAAACATCCGTAAAGTGGTCATTTCATGAAACTGATCCTAGAGCTCCGCAGTTTAAAAAAAACACTAAGAGCTGTGTTTTGTTAGAATGAATTTGGGGTCGTGACAAACATGGACCCTGATAGCCATGAGACTGTCCTCCGAAAGATCCGGAACATCCGTAAATGTGGTCAATCCACGAAACTGATCCTAGAGTTCTACGGTTTTTTGGAAAGCATTTGAAGCTGTGATATAATAAAAAATGTGGGGTCATGACATAAACATGGACCCGGATGGCCATAGGGTCGTCCTCTGGTAGGTCCAGAACATCCGTAAAATAGGTTAACCAATGAAACTGATCCTAGAGTTCCGCAGTTTTTTCATAAACATTAGAAACTGTGATATAAGAAAGAATTTGGG